CAAACAATTTGTAAATTAGTACAGAAAGTGCGACTTTTTCGGTACATTAATGGTAATGTACCGAAATTTATTTATAGACAACCACTGAAGAGCAATGAATAATGCTTATCAGTATTACTCACTGAATCGTAACCATTCCTGTGCTTTATCATAACTCCTATTACATTAGCAACAATGCTAAAAATGACCTACCTAAATCATGTGGTTATAGGAATTTTGAATTTTCCTGTATATACTAGGGGATGCACCTTTATCTGAACGAGCATGTATATATACCATTAAGCATTATATTAGGTTCAGTCATACTTTAACGTAGCAGTAAATCCTGGATCAAAATGTTAAAAGCATATTTAGTTTTGGTAGCTCTAGGGAGTGCAGCATATGCAGGTATGTTTTTTTTTATTAATAATAACTTTACTTTTCTCCACGATCTCATTTGATGGTAAGTGAGGATGTGGACGAGAATGATGTATGCTTAGAAGATTATGTTTTTTATGATATTGCGAGACGGAACAACGTCAGACGGAGACAAGTCGTGCGCCTGATAGTAAGCGACACACCTGCCTCTAGCAGTTGCAGTACCACTCAGAGCTTTAAATCGCATAGATCTGAGGGGCACTGCCACTGCGCCGGTTACCCTGCGAGATTAGCAAAAATAGGTAAGCTGGCAGTATTTTCCGGGACGCCTTAGACAAGGAGCTCTATTGATCTTAAAAGAGTCATGCGGATTAGAGAAGTATACAGTGTAAACGTATCATTCTTAAAAAGCATGAATAATTTATGTCTAGTGGAGACATAAATTATTCATACAATTTAACAAAAATTGAAATTGTAGACTCGGCCACCATGCTGGGTATAGAGATCGATAAGCACCTTACTTGGAAACCGCATATTTTAAAACTGTCAAATAGATTATCACCTGTATATATGCCCTTAGCAAATTAAAACGACTCACGAATAACAAAACTGCACTTGCAGCTTACTACGCTTATGCACACTCTAGACTCTCCTACGGGATCATCCTTTGGGGAAACTGCACGGACGTTCAAGAAGTTTTTGTTCTCCAAAAGAAGTGCATAAGAATATTAGCAAACATAGACCAAATGACATCTTGTAAAAACTATTTTCACAAATGTAACATATTAACGATATGTTGCATACACATACTTGAAGCTTGTAAATTCATTAAAAAACACTCTGACTTGTATTCGCCGTTAAAAACAGTCAAACGAAATAATCGTAATCTGTTCAAGTTGAAATTACCTCCTTCAAAGATGAAATTGTATTCATCGGGTCCCCGCTCAATGTTAATAAAAATATATAACCATCTCCCGAACAGCATAAAATGTACTCAGGATTCCAAGGCTTTTGAAAGACAATTAAAAACTCTCTTAATTGATAGGAGTTATTACAATATAACGGAATACTTTAATGATATTTTTGATGACCTTTTTTAAATGATTTAATTTGAAATAATAATAAAAAATTATAATTGTATGTTTCTGTGTATAAACGTATGTAGGTAAAATTATTTCAATTAGTATTTACTTTTAAAATTATATCAATTAGTATAGAGTGAAACATAATGTGTAAATTATATAGTCCTACTAGACACCATTTTGTATGCGTGGTATCAATTAGGAAATAGTACTGTGTAATAATTTTTATCTTATTTTTAAAATGTGTATAGTGCCATTCTCTTTGCAAACACCCTTACAGGGTGTCACATGTACTGTAATTTTAATATTATTGACATGTGACTATGCAATAAACGATTACTGATTACTGATTACTGAATACAGAACGCGGCCTTAAGAGTTACCTATTTCTGCCTCCAAGCAGTAATGTGAGCATTTTATCGGTTTTGAAGGGTAAGGGTGCTGGTAAAATCACAGGCACATGGGTCTTGTCATCTTATGTCTCAGGGTGACAACGCAGTAGCAGTGCCCTCAGATCTTTGTGTTTTAAAACTCTGAGTGGCACTGCAACTGTTATAGACACGCGTGACGCTTACTACCAGGCGCACGACTTGTTCGTCAATCTTAAAAAAAAGTGTAACTTAGCTGTACGGAATACGAACGTAGAAACGATGCGGATTAATAAAACACCTAGAATAAAACGGTGAAATCTCTCTCTGCGTCTGTTTGACCGTTGAAAGATTTGGGAGGTATTAAATTTTTGAATTTATCCTACAAAAAAAAGGTAGGCTACTCGACGACGTAAACAGACGTTACGTTGTTTAGTTTCCTTGAATTTCATTAGTTTGTCTTCTTGTTCTTTGTGTATACAACAAATACGTAAATTAACCGTAATCTGATTGTACGGTTTTTGCAGCTTGCAATATTTTTGTTAACTTAGCAACCTACTTATTTTTTGAACACCAAAGTGTCAATATAAATAAAGGACCATAATTTAACCTTAAGATCAACACTAAATTTCGTCAATAGGTACTATAACCCAGAAACTAGAATTTACAA